ACGAGTTATCTCTCTGTGATGAGTGCAGTAACGTGTTATCGCTCAGTGATGAGTGCAGTAACGAGTTATCACTCTGTGATGAGTGCAGTAACGAGTTATCACTCTGTGATGAGTGCAGTAACGAGTTATCGCTCCGTGATGAGTGCAGTAACGAGTTATCACTCTGTGATGAGTGCAGTAACGAGTTATCTCTCAGTAATGAGTGCAGTAACGAGTTATCACTCTGTAATGAGTGCAGTAACGAGTTATCACTCTGTGATGAGTGCAGTAACGAGTTATCTCTCTGGGATGAGTGCAGTAACGAGTTATCACTCTGTGATGAGTGCAGTAACGAGTTATCGCTCCGTGATGAGTGCAGTAACGAGTTATCACTCAGTAATGAGTGCAGTAACGAGTTATCACTCTGTGATGAGTGCAGTAACGAGTTATCACTCAGTAATGAGTGCAGTAACGAGTTATCACTCAGTAATGAGTGCAGTAACGAGTTATCACTCTGTGATGAGTGCAGTAACGAGTTATCTCTCAGTGATGAGTGCAGTAACGAGTTATCGCTCTGTGATGAGTGCAGTAACGTGTTATCGCTCCGTGATGAGTGCAGTAACGAGTTATCGCTCTGTGATGAGTGCAGTAACGAGTTATCACTCTGTGATGAGTGCAGTAACGAGTTATCGCTCCGTGATGAGTGCAGTAACGAGTTATCACTCAGTAATGAGTGCAGTAACGAGTTATCGCTCTGTGATGAGTGCAGTAACGTGTTATCGCTCCGTGATGAGTGCAGTAACGAGTTATCACTCAGTGATGAGTGCAGTAACGAGTTATCCCTCTGTGATAAGTGCAGTAACGAGTTATCTCTCTGTGATGAGTGCAGTAACGAGTTATCACTCTGTGATGAGTGCAGTAACGTGTTATCGCTCAGTAATGAGTGCAGTAACGAGTTATCACTCTGTGATGAGTGCAGTAACGTGTTATCTCTCAGTGATGAGTGCAGTAACGTGTTTATACTCCATTACTTTTTGTGTCCAGAGGAGGGCAGCAGAGCTTCGCTGCAGGAGGAGTTGGATGAGGAGCGGCTGAGATACCAGAACCTTCTGAAGGAGGTCTCCAGACTGGAGCAGAAATACGAGAACCTGAAGGAGGAGCAGTCCTTTAGCAAGGTAGCTGCTAACAAGCTAACATGCTAACAAAGAGAACTTTAATGTTTACAGTGAACCTGAGGCAGTCCCTAAGCAAGGTAGCTGCTAACAAAATTGCATAAATATTGAATAACATTTATAATGATGTATATTATATTCACGCAGTTTGCCCCCGGGCACCGCAGAAACGCCTCGACTCTGAGCAGCCAGGAGTCGGACTCCAACTACACCTCCATCTCCACGTCAGAGCTGGGAGACACCGAGGACACCCTGCAGCACGTGGAGGTGTGTATATATACTGTTTACTCATATATATATATATATATATATATATATATATATATATATATATATATATATATATATATTAGGGCTGTCAGTCGATTAAAATAGTTAATCGCGATTAATCGCAAATTAATCGCACATTTTTGATCTGTTCTAAATGTACCTTAGAGGAATATTTTTCAAGTTTTTAATACTCTTATCAACATATGAGTGGACAAATGTGCTTTATGCAAATGTTTATTATCATTTGAACAATGACAAATATTCTCATGAATTTTAAACACAACGACCTGGAACCTCTCTCATACAATAATACAATACAAATGTGTGTGTGTGTGTGTGTGATGGATCGTTGGAGCTATGTGCAACTCAAGGCATATGCTCGAACGGGAGCTGCCTGGACGCTGCAATCATGTTGCGCACTATCCGTGCTGAGTGTGCTGACTTTTCGTACAATGTCCCACTGTCTGGCTTCCTGCATAAAGTCAAGTGCTCGGCGCAGTTGTGGCGAAATGTCGCTCCTCTGTTTTCATTTAAACAGCTCCTTATATCCGTTAGCGCAGCTAGCTAGCACCAGATGTTAACAACAACAATACACGTAAGGTCTCTCCCTCGCGCCACACATACACACAACCTCCCGGTCCTCCCAACAGCCAGTCGGTGCCTGCCGGTGAGCGTGGAAGTGTGGTCTGCTGCAAGCGGGCGGCAGGAGCGGGGCTGTCAGCATCAGCTTGTAGATGGTATTTTAAACTCGATGCGCTCTGAAACTACGGGGCGGCCGAGGACAACAAATATACATGCGTTAATCGCGTTAAAATAATTAGTGGCGTTAATTTTTTTTTGCATTACCGCGTTATTAACGCGTTAATAACGCGTTTTTACATTTGCTTTCAAATCCCATACCTAATATATATATATATATATATATATATTAGGTATGGGATTTGAAAGCAAATGTAAAAAAAAACGGTTAACCGGAATGTAATATCCTACAAAAAGAAAATGTGGGGCAACATTTTTTCCAACATTTGTTTATATATAAATAAATACATGTTCAAATAAGTATAGAAACCAAGTCGAATTTGTGAAATGTATTGAACTGGTGATCACAGTTTGACAGCTATAGGCCTACAGCTTTCATGCTTAAAACATCAAAAACCTATAACAGGGCCTATGCACAGAATGCAGCTATTCAATGGGCTACTCATTCTTGTTTAAGAATATGAGCATGTCTACATGCTCAGGGGAGAGGCGGGTGCGGAGGCGATTCACGATCAGGCCAGCTGTAGAGAAGACCCTCTCAGCTGGAACGGAGGTTGCGGGTATAGCAAGGTATTCCTTCGCCAGGACACTGAGTTTTCTGTTCATTTTTCCTCCGCCACTGTAGTGGGTTTTCCTGTGGTGGGATGCCCGGCTCATTGAAATAGAGTTCCACTTCATTATGGTCTGGGTCTTCAGTGAAGTAGTCCTCCCCAAACAGGGTGTTTAACAACACGGCCCGTGTGTTAACGACATGGCCCGTGTGTACACGGGCTTCTTGCCTATCAGGGAAATAGAAATATCAAATATTTAGGCATATTTATTATTAATGCCTAATATTGTCGATTCAATTAAATATTCTTTCTTTACTAATTATTACAAATTAATTACCTGCATTAGCTGCTGAGGTGTCGTCTGATCCGTTTTGTAATGGCATCCAAGGTTTCCTTTTGCCACTATAGAGCGGGTTGACGACACGCAATCCATAGCAATAAGCAGCCGAAGGTTTTCAGTCAAAAATGTAATTTATTAACAAAAAGGTATTGACTTAAATAGTCTCAAAATAACAAATCTAAATCACTATTTCGGCGGTATGCTTTCCTATATAAACTATACTTTGCAGTCCAATTTGCAACACTAATCTCTGTTTACAATTTGCGGTGGAAAAACTGTTCCGCTCCCCGTCTCATCAGGTCTCCGAGCACGCCGGCTGTCCTCAATTACCTCACTTAAATACACACCGGAAGGTACAAGGAAACAGATCATATTTACGATATAAAATTAACAATAATTTCCTCAAAACATATTCACCATGGCAACACAAATCATTTTCCATCATTAAATCATTTATCAAATTATGAATCGAAATAATAACGTTGTGGCTCTAACACACCGGCCCCTAATTGTTGACGCAGTAGCAAAACAATTAATACATTATAATAGAGCCAAAAAACAAGCAGTTACTCAAAATGTAACTGTCACCAATATACAATCATTGTCATAGTTCACAGTCCAATGATTGTGTTTGGTGTGTTTGCATGAGTTCAAGAGGAAAAGGGTGTGTGTGTGTGTGTGTGTGTGTGTGTGTGTGTGTGTGTGTGTGTGTGTGTGTGTGTGTGTGTGTGTGTGTGTGTGTGTGTGTGTGTGTGTGTGTGTGTGTGTGTGTGTGTGTGTGTGTGTGTGTGTGTGTGTGTGTGTGATACTGGGTGTCAGAGGTTACGAGCACATGACACCTTGTGTTAAATCAACTGCTTCCAGGAGCAATTGGTCGCTGTAAGGTGCTACCCTTGGTTTTCACCAAGACACTTCGGACAAGCCCTTTGGACCCTGACAGTGTCTTTATCACCCGGCCCAGTTGCCAGGAATGTCTTGGTACCGTGTTATCCACGATGACGACGAGATCATTGGGGCGAAGGTTCCGTTTGGGGTTGTGCCATTTGACTCGCTGTTGCATGGTTGGGAGATATTCTCTTATCCATCTCCTCCAGAAGAGATCTGTGAGGTATTGTGCCTGTCTCCATCTCCTCCGTGAGTACAAGTCCTCCTTGTGAAAGAGTCCAGGTGGCATAATCACTTGAAACTGTAGTCAATGGTCTGTCATTCATGATGCTCTCAACTTCGCACAAAGCTGTCTGTAGAGTCTCATCATCCAATCTCTGTTCTTTTAGAACGGAACACAGAATCTTTTTTACAGGTCTGATGAGCCTCTCCCAAACTCCACCATGGTGGGCTCCATATGGCGGATTAAAAGTCCATTTTACTCCATCCCCGAGTAATGCATTTTGAATCTTGTGTTGATTCAGGTCTTTAAGAGCAGCTCTTAGCTCTTTCTGTGCTCCCACAAAGTTTGTGCCGTTGTCGGTCCTGATGCTTGTCACCTGCCCTCTGTGACATATGAATCTGTGCAAAGCATTGATGCAGGAGTCAGTGTCCAATGAGCTCGAAACTTCCAGATGTATGGCACGACTCACAAGGCAGGTGAAGATCACTCCCCAACGTTTTACATTTGCTCTGCCTCGTTTAACCTCCAGGGGTCCAAAGAGGTCGATACCAACATGAGTAAAGGGTGGTAGATCTGGAGACACCCGATCCTCTGGGAGGTCAGCCATGTTCTGCTCTCCAACTGTGGCTAGCATTCTTCGGCAGAAAACACAGGCTCTGATCATCTTTCTGGCTGCCGAGTTAGCACGAGGCAACCAGAATCTTTGATTTAGTCTTGAGAGCATGTGGCTTCTCCCCGAGTGTCCAATCTGCTGATGGATGTGGCCCAGGATCAGTTTGGATACAGTAGAGTCTCTGGGCAGGATAATGGGGTTCTTCAGATCCATTGGCATTGCTGATTTGCTTATTCGTCCTCCCACTCTTAGCATGCCTTCAACTAAGATTGGGTCCAGCTTCCTGATAGAGCTGCTTGCTCTTACTTGCCTTCCCTTCTCCAAAAGTGCAAGTTCCTGAGAGAAGTGACGTCTTTGCTCGGAGTGAATTATTGACCTTTCAGCTTCTCTAATGTCCTCCACAGACAGATGTTGTGATCCAAATGTCAACTTTAGCTTGTTCATTTTATCCTTTAAGGATTTCAAAAGAGTCCCATCTGGGGCAAGGTCAGCCTTTGCAGATTTCCTTCTTTGATTTAGCAGAAGAAGAATTCCCCTTAATTTAAGTATCCAAGCAACCCCTCTCTGCAGTCTGCTCCATGATGAGTAATACTCAAACAGTTTGCTGGTTGCGTTGGTTTCGTGGACACTCAAACTCTTAACTGCTACGTCCTTTCTAACCTCTGGGTCCTCTGATGGAATGAGGCCCAGGTTCTTAGGTGTTTTTGGCCAATATTCCTTTTCCAGATACTGAGGTCCTGTTATCCACCTTGATGTCTTTAGAAAGTCTTCTACATGCAGCCCACGGGATGCGTCGTCGGCAGGGTTGTCTATGGAGCTCACATGCCTCCACTGCTTCTCCTGAGACAGGTCCTTGATCACTGAAACTCTGTTTGCCACAAATGTGTGATATCGTTTAGTCTGGTTGCTGATGTATCCGAGGACAGAGGTGCTATCTGTCCAGAAGGTTGAGTCGTTGAGGTCCACTTTAAGCTCCCTTTTCAACATCCTGTCCACCTTTACTGCAAGTGTTGCTGCAGTAAGCTCCAATCTGGGAATAGTGATCTGTTTGAGTGGAGTCACTCTGGATTTTCCCAAAGTAAATGCAACATGGACCCTTCCCATACTGTTTGTAAAGCGAAGATAGCTGGTGGTGCCGTAACCTTTTTCGCTTGCGTCACAGAAGTGATGAAGCTCTGCAGTCCTGATTGGTCCAAAGTTCTCAGGTTTCATACACCTGTGTACTTGAAATCTGCTAAGCTGTTCCAACTCTGTGATCCATTTCTGCCATTGTTTTGAGTATTCTTCTGGGATGGTTTCATCCCATCCACTTTATCCTGCATAGCTCTTGGAGGATCTGCCTGGCTTTAAGGATAAATTGGGAGAGGAATCCTAACGGGTCGTAGATGGAACTGACTGTAGAGAGGATCCCTCTCCTGGTAAGAGCTCTGTTTTTGATATTGACTTTGAATATGAAGGAGTCTTTCTCTGTATCCCATTGGATTCCAAGTGCTCTTTCAATTGGCAGGTTTTCCCTGTCAAAGTCCAGATCCTTGAATAGCTTTGCTCTGTGATGCTCAGGTATACTTGCAAGCACTTCACGGTTGTTACAGACCCATTTGGTCAATGAGAAACCTCCTTTGGCGCATGCGTCTCTGAGGTCTCTGATAAGCTTAATAGCTTGTTCAACTGTGGCCACTGATTTGAGGCAATCATCAACGTAAAAGTTGGAATTGATTGTTTCAGTTACCTCTTCGTCGTACTTGAAGCTGTTGTCTTCTGCCACTTGTCTGAGAGCATAGTTAGCAATGCTAGGTGAGGACACAGCGCCAAAGAGGTGGACCTTCATTCTATATGCCTCCAATGAATTTTCAGTGTCTCCATCTGGCCACCACAGAAACCTAAGGAAGTCTTTGTGCTCTCTCTGGACTTGCACTTGATAGAACATTGCCTCGATGTCCCCCATGAAAGCAATTTGTTCTTGGCGGAATCTAAGCAGAACTCCAATGAGAGTGTTCGCCAGGTCTGGACCTTGGAGAAGTTCCTTGTTAAGAGATGTGCCTTTGCATGATGCAGTGCAGTCAAACACAACTCTAAGTTTGCGCTTTTGTTTATGGTAAACACCGTGGTGAGGTATGTACCATATCTGTCCATCATTCCTGTTAAGCTGTTCTGGTGGCACTCTCTCTGCATAACCCCTTTTTAACACATCCTCCATGAATGTTTTGTATTCCATGGCATATTCTGCATCCCTCTTAAACCTCTTTAGGAGATTTAGAGTACGTTGTTTTACCATTTCGTAGTTGTCAGTCATAACTATGTCCTTTTTTCGAAAAGGCAAGGGTAGGTGATAGTGTCCATCCTTGAGTGCTACTGAGCTTGATGCTATCTCCATGAACCTTTTGTCTTCACCTGACATTTCCTTCTTCTCTTCATAATCTTTTTCCGAGAAGTCCTGATTGTATTGTGTGATGAGATCATTCAGGTTGGCTACTGATGTTCTGTTGACCATTGTGACCACAGGTCCGGATTCCACAGCAGCGTGGAGTGGTCCATTTACCACCCGTCCAAACACTGTCCTGACTGCATATGGTCCATTTCCTTGACTTCTTATTATGTCCCAAGGTTCCATTGCCTTAGGAACATCAACTCCTATTAGAAGCTCTATGTCAGCATCAATTTCTCTCAGCTGTATGTCACTTAGATAAGGCCATCTTTCCAGATCCTTTTGGGTAGGTACATTTTCTTTTGAGACAGGAATCTTACTCTGCGTGTACACCTGAGGTAGGTCAATGTAAGTACTGCCATCTAAATGTCCTATCTCCAATCCTTTGAGTTCGTAACTCTTTACAAGTCGTTCCTGACCCATTGTTCGTAGAACGACTGTCGTTTTTCGTGCTTTGGGATTCAGCTGTCTCATTAGATTCTCTGTGCAGAATGACGCTGAACTGCCGGGATCAAGAAAAGCATAGGTTGAGATAAACGTATCTCCTTTGTGAACCTTGACTCGAACAGGCACTATGGCTAGGGCACAATCCCTACCGGCCCCAGTAGCTTCACCAGCCGAGACAAGTGCACTGTTGACACAAGCTCCTTTTGTTTCAGTAGGGGGAGGCTTTTGTAGAAGTGGACTGTCAATGTGAAGTATTGTTGGGTGGCTCTTTTGACATGTCAGCCTTTTCCTACAGTTCCTGCTCATATGACCCCTCATCAAACATCCAAAACAATAACCATTTATCTTCAAAAGGTCAACCTTTTCCTTGTGTGGATGATGTTTGAACTGATGGCAATCAGTCACCACGTGCTTGCCTTACAAAAGTAGCAAAAAGAGGCAGGACTGCCCCCTTGTGGCTGTTTGAAGGTGTTACGCTGCTCTGTGTTTGATGGTGCAGCGCTGCTCTCCTGATCACATGCTGCTGTGATGATGATGGCGAAGCTGCTGCCTCTACCTCTAGGTGTTCTGTGGCTCATGGGTTGGCTCCTAGTGGCCATCCTTGGGCTAGAGATGTGGCGATCCTGTATATCCCCAAATAATGGGTCCAGGAGTATTTTAACTTGTTTTTCCATAAGCTCCACAAGGTCACGAAATCTAGCTCTCTCCTTTGTTCTCTGTAATATCTCATAAGCCACTGTCCGCCATGTTTCTCGCAGTTTGTAAGGGAGTTTAGATATTATTGATCTTAGATTGGAAGGAATATCTAGTTCATCCATGTACTTTAAATCTTGCATAGCATTGCAGCATCCTCTTAAATACATTGCATATGCCTGAAGCGCTTTGCCATCATCCGGTCTAATTGATGTCCAGTTCATTGCCTTTTCCAAATAAGCGCTGGTTACTTTGATCTCGTCCCCAAAGTGCTCCTTTAACAGCCTTTTGGCTTCTGTGTAACCTCTGTGGGTATCCATATGCAGGCAGCTGCGAACGAGATCTTTGGGCTGGCCGGAAGTGTACTGGTCGAGAAAGTAGAGCCTGTCATGACTGCTAGCTGTTTTATCCTCAATAAGGTGTTCGAAAGCATAAAGGACTGATATTCAAGTGGATCACCATCGAACACTTTTATCTCCATTGTTGGTAACAAGGTAAGTGTCTGCTGCATAATGATGAGGTCAGCAATATCTCTCTGTCTCTGTATAACAGTGTCCAGGTTATCATGGGTTTCATTGTGTTGGGTGGAGCTATGCATTGTGGGCATTTTGAAAGGTATAAACTGTGTTGTGGGTTGCTGAGGGCGGCGGAGATTACTGACAGTCCTCTGAAGTGGTGTTTCAGGCACTGCACCCAATGGGCTGAGCTTTCAGGATCCAAAGTGTCTGTGCTTCTTTCTTTGCTTTCCTCCAGATAAGCATTCATTCCATCTTGAATTTGATCCTCCATGTTTCCTCCACGTCAATGCTTTGCAGAACCTTTATTTTAGCAGCAGATGCTGCCATTTCTGTGTCCAGTTCCATTTGTTCCAGTTCAGCTGTTAGTGTTACTTGTTGTAATAGCAGTGCATGTTTGTCCTTTAACCCAGCTGCTCTGGCTAGCAGGGCAGCCTTCCAGCAGACGCTCTTCTACATGCTGAGGAGACTGAAGAGGTTTTTGAGCTCCTTGTGTGAAACATTAGAGATGCTGTCATGGGGATGAATCTTTGATTGTGCAATTCTTTCTCTTTCCCACACATCCACATCTTTCATACAATATTCAAAATGTGTCATTTTTGGCTCAAACCAGTCCACATGATCCTCCTCTCTCTCTTCCTCTGATAAAAGCTGCTGTACGGATCCATAAACACTGCACAAGTCATTTATATTTAGTTTGAACATTTCCAAAGCTTCATTCCCATCCTCCACAAGCAAGGCCTTCATTTCATGTTCCTTGTGCATGCTCCTAATTTCCCACTGCGGGAGGCTTTGAGGGATTTTAACAATGTTTCTGCGTCAGCAGAAGTCCTGGGATCGTCCGACATTATTTATTTGTATGTTTTTTAGGCCGTGTGTGAAAGACGTTGCGCTCCTTTAATGAGTCTCACAGAGCACGCCTACTGGCTTCCTTTGTTGCACAAACAAATTCAATCACATTCTTTTCACAGACGATCCACAGGTATTTACAATCCTCCTCCAATGTGAGCATCGCCGTTATGATTTCCTTTTAGACTTTAACACGTCCGACATTCCAATCAATGCTACACGGATTTATTCCCTTTATTTACTCACGACCGGCCCAGTCTGTCCGCTCCGGTGTGTCCCTCTTTCCCGGGGATCCAAACGGTGTGTCTCTTCCTTACGGAGTTTTTCGACTTGATGTAATGGCATCAAGGTTTCCTTTTGCCACTATATAGAGCGGGTTGACGACACGCAATCCATAGCAATAAGCAGCCGAAGGTTTTCAGTCAAAAAATGTAATTTATTAACAAAAAGGTATTGACTTAAATAGTCTCAAAATAACAAATCTAAATCAATATTTCGGCGGTATGCTTTCCTATATAAACTATACTTTGCAGTCCAATTTGCAACACTAATCTCTGTTTACAATTTGCGGAGGAAAAACTGTTCCGCTCCCCGTCTCATCAGGTCTCCGAGCACGCCGGCTGTCCTCAATTACCTCACTTAAATACACACCGGAAGGTACAAGGAAACAGATCATATTTACGATATAAAATTAACAATCATTTCCTCAAAACATATTCACCATGGCAACACAAATCATTTTCCATCATTAAATCATTTATCAAATTATGAATCGAAATAATAACGTTGTGGCTCTAACACGCTTTCTCAGTGAGGTTGCAACAGCCTCCTTGAACTCGCAATCCACTCGCGACTCTCCGGGGATGGACATTAGGTGCCTTGTCAACAGGCTGTTTGTTACAGGCTGTTCCAAGCCGATGCATACATGGGTCTCGCTGCAAAGTGCTGTGGTTGCGCACTTGAGAGACTGGAGTGCGGGCAGAATGTCTTCGATAACCTGCCAGTTCTGATCTGTGAGTTCCAGGGTCCTGCGTCGTTCCGTTTTGCAATGGTCCTGTCGTGTAGCCTTTCAAACATATCACATAATCGACCCTAAGGGTTAGGGTTAGGGTAACCTAACCCTAACCCAACCCTAATCACACATCGAGTTCCATCTCGTACGAGAGTACTGAATGACTTTATGTTTGGGGAGATTTTGCGCGTCTTGTTTTTTCTTCAGGCCAGCGGTGGCTACAGTGCTGTGAGGAAAATGTGACACCAGTCTCCCACAAGCTGCCACAACCCGATGCACACTTTGGTGTGTATATATACTGTGTACTCATATATATATATATATATACCCTTACCCTGCAGCACGTGGAGGTGTGTATTAGTATATATATCAGTATATATTGTGTGTATTTGTACAGGATGTGGGGGTGGAGGCAGCCGCTCTGGACCTCTCGGTGTATTAGTATATATATCAGTATATATTGTGTGTATTTGTACAGGATGTGGGGGTGGAGGCAGCAGCTCTGGACCTCTCGGTGTTCCTGAAGCTGCAGCGCCGGGTCAGAGACCTGGAGACGGAGAGAGGGAGGCTGCAGCAGCAGCTGGAGCGGGGGGGCGAGCACAGGGTCTGTATATATACACTATCTTTACTGCATATATTTATATATGTACTACTACTACTACAGTCCCTCTGTCCTCTATATGAATATATGTGTTCCTCTGCAGTGCTCTGAGGCCCCGCCTCTCTCTGAGCAGGACGCTGCGGACCTCACATACACCAGCCTCAAGGTGTGTGTGTGTGTGTGTGTGTGTGGTCTAATGTGTGAGTGAGTGTGTCTAATGTTTGTATAATGTGTGTGTGAGTGTGTCTAATGTTTGTATAATGTGTGTGTTTGTGTGTGTGTGTGTGTGTGTGTGTGTGTGTGTGTGTGTGTGTGTGTGTGTGTGGTGTGTGTGTGTGTGTGTGTGTGTGTGTGTGTGTGTGTGTGTGTGTGTGTGTGTGTGTGTGTAGCTGCAGGACATCGAGGTGGAGAACCTGAAGCTCAGGAAGGATCTCCTCTCGCTCCAGAAGGCGGTCTCTGAGAGGGCGGGGCTTAGCGATCCCACCAATGAGCTGCAGGAGAGCCACGCCCTGCTTATGTCTCAGCTGCGCTCAGCCAATGAGGAGCTGGAGGCTCGAAAGGAGGAGGTGCTTATTCTGAGGACACAGATCATAAGCTCCGCCCACAATGAGCAGAGCCCCGCCCACCAGAAGGAGCAGAGCCCCGCCCCCCTGAAGGAGCAGAGCTCGGTGTGTATTAGAGTCATCATTAATATCACACATCAATTATAAAGATTCAGTAAGATTAATGTGTGTGTGTGTGTGTGTGTGTGTGTGTGTGTGTGTGTGTGTGTGTGTGTGTGTGTGTGTGTGTGTGTGTGTGTGTGTGTGTGTGTGTGTGTGTGTGTGTGTGTGTCAGCAGGACGGTGCTATAGTCAGTGAGCAGGGCAGCACTCCGCCAGAAAAAGAGGAATATGTGTGTGCCGGAGAGTGTGAGTCCAAGAGGTTCGTCAACACACTTCCTGTCTGTCTCTCTGCTTCCTGTCTGTCTCTCTGCTTCCTGTCTGTCTCATCCTGTCTGTCTTTCAGCTTCCCGTCTGTCTCTCTGCTTCCTGTCTGTCTCATCCTGTCTGTCTCTCAGCTTCCTGTCTGTCTCTCAGCTTCCTGTCTGTCTTTCAGCTTCCTGTCTGTCTCTCTCTCTCTGTATGTGTCTGTCTGTCTGTCTCTCTCTCTCTGTATGTGTCTGTCTGTCTGTCTCTCTCTCTGTATGTGTCTGTATGTCTGTCTCTCTGTCTGTCTGTCTCTCTCTCTGTATGTGTCCGTCTCTCTGTCCGTCTCTCTGTCTCTCTGTCTGTCTCTCTGTCCGTCTCTCTGTATGTGTCTGTCTGTCTCTCTGTCTGTCTCTCTCACTCTGTATGTGTCTGTCTGTCTGTCTCTCTCTCTGTATGTCTCTGTCTCTCTGTCCATCTCTCTGTCTGTCTCTCTCTGTATGTGTCTGTCTCTCTGTCCGTCTCTCCGTCGGTCTCTCTGTATGTCTCTCTGTCTGTCTGTCTGTCTGTCTGTCTGTCTGTCTGTCTGTCTGTCTGTCTGTCTGTCTGTCTGTCTGTCTGTCTGTCTCTCTCTCTGTATGTGTCTGTATGTCTGTCTCTCTGTCTGTCTGTCTCTCTCTCTGTATGTGTCCGTCTCTCTGTCCGTCTCTCTGTCTCTCTGTCTGTCTCTCTGTCCGTCTCTCTGTATGTGTCTGTCTGTCTCTCTGTCTGTCTCTCTCACTCTGTATGTGTCTGTCTGTCTGTCTCTCTCTCTGTATGTCTCTGTCTCTCTGTCCATCTCTCTGTCTGTCTCTCTCTGTATGTGTCTGTCTCTCTGTCCGTCTCTCCGTCGGTCTCTCTGTATGTGTCTGTCTGTCTCTCTGTCTCTCTGTCTGTCTGTCTGTCTGTCTGTCTCTCTGTCCGTCTCTCTGTCCGTCTCTCTGTATGTGTCTGTCTGTCTCTCTGTCTGTCTGTCTGTCTGTCTCTCTCACTCTGTATGTGTCTGTCTGTCTGTCTCTCTCTCTGTATGTCTCTGTCTCTCTGTCCATCTCTCCGTCGGTCTCTCTGTATGTCTCTCTGTCTGTCTGTCTGTCTGTCTGTCTGTCTGTCTGTCTGTCTGTCTGTCTGTCTGTCTGTCTCTCTCACTGTCTCTCTCTCTGTATGTGTCTGTCTGTCTGTCTCTCTGTCTCTCTCTCTGTATGTGTCTGTCTGTCTGTCTGTCTGTCTGTCTGTCTGTCTCTCTCACTCTGTATGTGTCTCTCTGTCTCTCTCTCTGTATGTGTCTGTCTGTCTGTCTCTCTGTCTGTCTGTCTGTCTCTCTCACTCTGTATGTGTCTGTCTGTCTGTCTCTCTGTCTCTCTCTCTGTATGTGTCTGTCTGTCTGTCTCTCTGTCTGTCTGTCTGTCTCTCTCACTCTGTATGTGTCTGTCTGTCTCTCTCTCTGTATGTGTCCGTCTCTCTGTCCGTCTCTCTGTCTCTCTGTCTGTCTCTCTGTCCGTCTCTCTGTCCGTCTCTCTGTATGTGTCTCTCTGTCTCTCTGTCTGTCTGTCTCTCTCTCTGTATGTGTCTGTCTCTCTGTCTCTCTGTATGTCTCTCTGTCTGTCTCTCTGTCTGTCTCTCTCACTCTGTATGTGTCTCTCTGTCTGTCTGTCTCTCTCTCTCTCTGTATGTCTCTGTCTCTCTGTCTCTCACTCTGTATGTGTCTCTCTGTCTGTCTGTCTGTCTCTCTCTCTGTATGTGTCTCTCTGTCTGTCTGTCTGTCTGTCTCTCTGTCTGTCTCTCTCTCTCTCTGTATGTGTCTCTCTGTCTGTCTGTCTGTCTCTCTCTCTGTATGTCTCTGTCTCTCTGTCCATCTCTCTGTCTCTCTGTCTCTCTGTCCGTCTCTCTGTCGGTCTCTCTGTATGTCTCTCTGTCTGTCTCTATGTCTGTCTCTCTGTCTCTCTGTCTGTCTCTCTCTCTCTGTATGTGTCTCTCTGTCTGTCTGTCTGTCTCTCTCTCTGTATGTCTCTGTCTCTCTGTCCGTCTCTCTGTCCGTCTCTCTGTCTCTCTGTCTGTCCGTCTGTCTGTCTGTGTTTGTTTCTGACAGCTCTATGTGTGTTGCTTTATTAGGAAGTAGAACTGATTTGAAGCAGGAAATATAGTCCTATCTGTGCTCTATGCTAATGCTAACGCTGCTACAGGCTGCTGGAGGCGCAGCTGCAGGCACAGACGCGTCGTCACGGCGACGAGCTGACAGCGCTGCACACGCAGATCGAGCTGCTGAAGGCCGACATCGAGAAGAAGCAGGAGCTGCTGAACTTCACCTCCTCGCTGTCCCCCGAAGACAGGGTGGAGTACAGCGTCCAGCAGGAAATAACCCGGCTAACCAACGACAACCTGGTGAGGAGCAGGAAGAACTGCAGGAAGTAGCACTGCAGCAGGAAGTTTATATTACATATATGTTTTCTTTATTTCTAATATGTGTGTCTGTGTGTGTGTGTGTGTGTGTGTGTGTGTGTGTGTGTGTGTGTGTGTGTGTGTGTGTGTGTGTGTGTGTGTGTGTGTGTGTGTGTGTGTGTGTGTGTGTGTGTGTGTGTGTGTGTGTGTGTGTGTGTGTGTGTGTGTGTGTGTGTGTGTGTGTCTTCAGGACCTAAAGGAGCTGCTGGAGAAACTGGAAAAGAACGAGAGGAAACTGAAGAAGCAGCTCAGGATCTACATGAAGAAAGTCCAGGAGCTGGAGGGTAACCTGTCCCACTGTCCACCTGTCTGTCTGTCTGTCACCTGTGTGGCTCCACCTGTCCACATGTATGTCTGTCTCACCTGTCTCTCACCTGTCTCTCACATTTACAATACATTACATTACATTTGGCTGATCCAAAGCAACTTACAATGAGTGCAAAGACCGACGATTCCGAGCTAAGTGCTGCACTGTGAGATTTAACCAGTTCCTGGATATAGGATGGACCAGATCCCTTTCCATCATGGTGGGCCAGTACCAGGGCCTGGAGAGTCCTTACCTGGAGAGTCATTACCTGGAGAGTCCTTACACTGTGAGTTCTTACCCGGAGGGTCATTACCTGGAGAGTCCTTACCCGGAGAGTTCTTACCCGGAGAGTCCTTACCTGGAGAGTCCTTACCCGGAGAGTCATTACCCAGAGAGTCCTTACACTGTGAGTTCTTACCCGGAGGGTCATTACCTGGAGAGTCCTTACCCGGAGAGTTCTTACCCGGAGAGTCCTTACCTGGAGAGTCCTTACCCGGAGAGTCCTTACCCGGAGAGTCATTACCCAGAGAGTCCTTACCCGGAGAGTCATTACCCGAAGAATGCTTACCCGGAGAGTTCTTACCCGGAGAGTCATTACCCGGAGAGTCATTACCCGGAGAATTCTTACCTGGAGAGTCCTTACCCGGAGAGTCATTACCCGGAGAGTCATTACCCGGAGAATTCTTACCCAGAGAGTCCTTACCCGGAGAGTTCTTACCCGGAGAGTCCTTACCCGGAGAGTCCTTACCCGGAGAGTCCTTACCCGGAGAGTCCTTACCCGAGAGTCCAGAGAGTCCTTACCCGGAGAGTCATTACCCGGAGAATTCTTACCCGGAGAGTCCTTACCCGGAGAGTTCTTACCCGGAGAGTCCTTACCCGGAGAGTCATTACCCGGAGAATTCTTACCCGGAGAGTTCTTACCTGGAGAGTCCTTGCCCGGAGAGTTCTTACCAGAAAAATCCTTACCTGGAGAGTCCTTACCTGGAGAGTCCATACCTGGAGAGTCCTTACCTGGAGAGTCCTTACCCGGAGAGTCCTTACCTGGAGAGTCTTTACCTGGAGAGTTCTTACCCGGAGAGTCCTTACCTGGAGAGTCCTTACCTGGGAAAGTCCTTACCCGGTGAGTCTGGAGAGTTCTTACCTGGAGAGTCCTTACCTGGAGAATCCTTACCTGGAGTGTCCTGACCTGGAGAATCCTTACCTGGAGAGTCCTTACCTGGGAAAGTCCTGACCTGTAGAATCCTGACCTGGAGAATCCTTACCTGGGAGAGTCCTTACCTAGGAAAGTCCTTACCTGGAGAGTCCTTACCTAGGAAAGTCCCTACCTGGAGAGTCTTTACCAAGAGAGACCTTACCTGGAGAGTCCTTACCTGGAGAGTCCTTAACTGGGAGAGACCTTACCTAGAGAGACCTTGCCTGGAGATTCCTGACCTGGGAAAGTCCTGACCTGGAGAGTCCCTACCTGGGAAAGTCCTGACCTGGAGAGTCCCTACCTGGGAAAGTCCTTACCTGGGGAATTCCTTACCTGGATAGTCATTACCTGGAGAGTCCTTACCTGGGAAAGTCCTTACCTTGAGAGTCCTTACCTGGGAGTGTCCTTACCTAGAGATTCCTTACCTGGAGAGACCTTACCTGGAGAGACCTTACCGGGGAAAGTCCTTACCCGGAGAGTCCTTACCTGGAGAGTCCTTACCCGGAGAGACCATACCTGGGAGAGTTCTTACCCAGAGGGTCCTTACCCGGAGAGTCCTTACGTAGAGAATCCTTACCTGGAGAGTTCTTACCCGGAGGGTCCTTCCCTGGAGAGTCCTTACCCAATTTAGAGACAATGGACGTCCATTCTCGGGAGACGTCTGACAGTGGTGCGGTTACCCAAAGTGACATACCTAATTATACCTCTATTTAGAGGCAATGGACGTCCACTCTCGGGCGAGAGAGACCTCCAGCATGTGTCCATGAAATGGGGACTCAGGTTATTTCACACATCCAGGACAGAGACTGGGGAAATCACCTCTCTGTGGCCCCTCCAAGACCCCCAAAGGACGGACTACAGACCTCCAGCATGTGTCCCTGAAATGGGGACTCAGGTTATTTCACACATCCAGGACAGAGACTGGGGAAATCACCTCTCTGTGGCCCCTCCAAGACCCCCAAAGGACGGACTACAGACCTCCAGCATGTGTCCCTGAAATGGGGACTCAGGTTATTTCACACATCCAGGACAGAGACTGGGGAAATCACCTCTCTGTGGCCCCTCCAAGACCCCCAAAGGACGGACTACAGACCTCCAGCATGTGTCCCTGAAATGGGGACTCAGGTTATTTCACACATCCAGGACAGAGACTGGGGAAATCACCTCTCTGTGGCCCCCCCAAGACCCCCAAAGGACGGACTACAGACCTCCAGCATGTGTCCCTGAAATGGGGACTCAGGTTATTTCACACATCCAGGACAGAGACTGGGGAAATCAACTTTCTGTGGCCCCCCCAAGACCCCCAAAGGACAGACTACAGACCTCCAGCATGTCTCCCTCACATGGACACTCTGCTTATTTTACACCTCCAGGAGAGAGACCAGTAATGGCACCTCTGTGTGGCCCGTCACAGAGCCCCAAAGGACGGACTAATGACCTCCAGCATGTCTCCCTCACATGCGCAATTCCATAACCTTTCACACCGTGAGTCCCCGGGCCCCCGGACTTAAGCACTCCCCCACGGACTAAACCCAGATGATCACACCCTACAGAACCTCATGCCCCTGGTAACACTTAAAGGTGGTGGATTTTGTGGTGCTTTTCTGTCAGCCCATCAGCATCCATATTCGGCCTTCTTCACGGCACCACCACCATCCTTTCTGTGGAGGATATTCTCATGCTCCTGGTAACCCTTTAAATAGTCTGAGACTACCAGGGCTCATCACTGCACTTTACAAGCCAGAGATAATGATTAAATGGTCGGGAAAAGTGTGTTTAAACATCTGGAAGAGAGTTTTAGCCTGTCATTTTGCACAATATCATTTAACATTGAACCTCATTCGAGGAGAGGTTCAATGTTAAATCATATTGTGCAAAATGACAGGCTAAAACCCAGAAATAAGTGTCTGAATCCTGGGTAAACTTTGTTTAAATAGTCTGATACCTGGCACTGTATCTGCCCCTGGGAATCTTCAAGGTTATATAAATGTTTTTTAAATTTATTTAATTATCACAAGATTTTTTACAAAAACAGTATACACAATATAAACATAATAAAAACATGATTAGCGGGGGCCATATTAGCCGTCTAACTTGTACGGTGCACCGAGGGAAACAGGCTGAGTCCACGGCCTCTACCCCCACATCAGGAGTATCAACCGGCCCTGAAGAAGAGGTATCGCTGCTCTCCGCCCCTGAGTCCTCTTCGGAGGTATCTGACGGCGGTAGAACTCCTTCCGATGATGCTGCTGCAGCTGCTGCCGCCCTGAACATGGAGCGGATCTTCAATCCCTCCTTTATTCCAGGCGTATTCGCGTAGAACCGGTCTGCAGTGCTTACGTCGTGACACATAAACCTGGCGAGAATCGACCTGCTTTCTGGATCTTGGTGATGCTTGATATTGTCTGCCAGGGCAGTGCGCAGGATTGTGAAGGTGATGGCTGTTTCTAGCCCAGCATCAGCCCAAGCCCTCTTCAAGTGAGCGTTCAGGTTCCTGGAGGCATGCTTCCCCGTTGTGAAAAGGAAGAATTCATTCTGAGGACCCGACAAGCCCTCTTTTATCCCCATCCACCACATGACCCAGCTAAACTCCTTTACTGTAAGCACCAGCTGTGCTTCGCCAAATGTCTTGGCAGTCTTGTGATCCTGCACATGGATGATGTAGCCCTCAGCAGTGCCCCTTCTGTCCGCCTCCAAGACCTCAGTGTTGGTCATGTTGGCGTACACACCCGGAAGGTGGCCATACAGTAGGCTCCAATGGAGGGTTAGATAGCCATGTAGCAGGTACTGGGTGATTGAGGTCGGAATGCAAGCCATCAGGTCAAGGAGATCAGGGATGCGCTTCTCAGCGGCCGCCATGGCGGCGAGAAGCTCCGCCTGGCTCGGCAGACGATCCAGCTTGTTCCTCTTCATCTTAAACTGGTGGAAAGTGACAGACTTGTTCAAGTCTTTCATGTTGGCTTTCACCTCTCTGATGATGTGGGTCATATCAGACTGGGTGAGCCTGCACCCCCGGAGCTTTGACTCAGACAAGTACCTCAGGAAATGGTTCACATTCTTCAGGAACAACAGCGATGTTGTGACTGCCCGGCCCGACTTTACAATATGCTCGCTCCAGCCACGGACCCTCTCCGTGTCTTTTAGGAACAGCCAATCTGACAGCCGGTTAACACCATGGGCCATGAATACGAGGAATTTCTTTATCCGGCTGACATTGGACAGACAACTTTCTTTCCGTTTTACTGTCGGTGCGACACCCTCAAAATGATGCCTGTATGTCTGAATGTACGTCTCCATGCTTTGAGGCAACGGGATTTCACGCATGGTATTCCCCCGTCCCTTCCCAGTGGACCAGTGAGGAGAGGGCCAGTCCTCATTACAGGAGGCTGCTGGAGACCGCATGACAGTCTTGACCGGGGTCCTGAGAGGGGTCTGACTACCAGAGGCTGCTGGAGACCGCATTACAGTCTTGACCGGGGTCTTGAGAGGGGTCTCACTACCGGACGCTGCTGGGGAGCGCATGAGAGTCTTGACCGGGGTCTTGAGAGGGGTCTCACTTCCAGAGGCTGCTGGGGACCGCATGAGAATCTTGACCGGGGTCTTGAGAGGGGTCTCACTACCGGAGGCTTCTGGAGACCGCATGAGAGTCTTGACCGGGGTCTTGAGAGGGGTCTCACTACCGGAGGCTGCTGGGGACCGCATGAGAGTCTTGACCGAGGTCTTGAGAGGGGTCTCACTACCGGAGGCTGCTGGGGACCGCATGACAGTCTTGACTGGGTTCTTGA